AATTACATTCGAAATATGTCATTAATATTTTTTGACATGCCACAACATGACCTTACAAAACATATTATATAACAGGCACTTGCCAGAAATAATTCGTCTATCTTAATAAAACAGTACATGATTGAAATCAATTTTGCAGTTACGTAATACCGACTGTTTTCGTTTAAACCTTTATTACTCTTTACTTTGGTTTGTCAGACGTCTATATCCCATGGCATTAATGTCGTATTCAGTATTATTGATAGTTTGTATATGGCTAAGTGGTCTGGGAATTCTAATGTCAAGAAAATCTCTTAATCTCTTTGGTTAGACCAATTTGCAAACACACAAGAGATGTATTGCATTTTTGTTCTGAATGTTATTGTACTTACAATAGCTTGATGGCCAAATTTTGACTTTTCACCTAATTTGTTCCAGGTCATTTTTAATTTCTCGTTGTGGCATGATTGTATATGAGCATGTTTTAAGTAATCAGTTGAGGTTTGAAAGTAATATTAATACATCATTGTTCTATTACTGTGTATGTGTTTACAGTGCTTTTAATTAGAGGGTATTTGGAATATTAAAAATATTCTTAAACATGAATCTTGCCCTCCCCCCCCCCCCCCCCCCCCCCCCCACGAAATATATATATATATATAAACGAGAAGATACAACCGCAAATAAAACCACAACAAAAAGCTCCGAAACAAAACAGAAAAAAAAATGTTTTTTAAAGCCGCTGCGAATCGAACAGAATGTTTTATTAATAAGAAATTGTAAAATATATAGTTTACAAGCTTATGCTTAATTCTATGCTAATAAGCTTAATCTCTCTCTCTCTCTATATATATATATAAAGTCTTGATTCCTTATTTGTGATGCTACGTAGAACAGTAATTGGAGATGGTTTGATGCTCAAGTTAATTTTTAACATGATGTGTGCATTACCTGTCATATGTCAAAAGCTTGAAATTGTCTTTTTTAAGGACTAAATTCAAATCAGCACATTTGTATCGCTGAATATCCATTTACATATAGAATCTAACACTGAATTCATTGCAAGAACGGGAATTCCGGATAAGATAACCATATATCGCCGACTCGGATGAGCCTCGTCTGACGCTAGAAATCTTACCCTAGGGTTATGTGAGTTTTCCAAGTCTTCTTTTCTTGTCGAATTTATTTCTTTTTGTTTCCCATCTTATGTTCGGTGGATACAAAAATGTTCAACGTTGCTGTCTCGTCCAGGATGTTCGACGAAACAAGAATAATATCTAAGTCGAAGGACACCACGTGATAGTTAACCAAAAACAAGGTGAAAATATTCAAATATAAGGATAAACACACATTGACCCATAGAAATAGACACCATTTGAAATAAAAGTTGATATCAATACAAATTCCTACCAAAAACGGATTATATCAAATGCTTCGGAAAGGTCAGTGTAACTATCCATCGAACTAGTAAATGTGCCACGCATCGTGCGAAAATCATGCGTGGATCGTGCGATATAACAATGACAATTGTGTGATGTAAAACAATTCAAATGAGAAAAACTGACGGCCTGATCTATGCTAAAGCAATAAACGAAAAACAAATATGATAGACAGCAATCAACTACAACCACTGAATTACATGCTCCTGCATTGGGACAGGCACAAAAAGAATGTGACGAGGTAAAACATGATTGTTAGCACTCACTCCCTCCTTTTTTTACCTCACATTTCGTAACAACACCGCTCTGATCTTACCTCATGTTTTGCATTTGTCTATTGTTGAAAAACACATAGTGTACATATGATCTTCCGAAGATAATTGTTGGCTTGTCTGTGCTTTTTGGTCTCTTTTGTTATTTTACTTATTTTGATCATTTTGGGTTATACGATATTGATACAGAATATGTAGTCGTGATACATAATGAATTATTATATCTGTCAGTCCAGTATTGAGTTGATCCGTCGTCAGACTTCTTGTTTGTCAGATTTCTTGGGTTTATATAAACCTCGTCAATCAAATCTGATTGATGATGAAAGGATAACCCATTCTGTTTACATTAACCGTGTATTTTTTTTTAGATTAATGCAGAACGTTCATGAATGTTCAATCGGGTAAATATGTGTATGAAGCATGTCAGACTTTTAGTTCTACCCTAGGTATCAATTAACAAGTCTATTTTATATTGATGAATTTCAAAAATAAGAAGTTCCTGAATCAAAATGAAGTTCACGAAAAAGGTATTTTTATGAAGAAACACATACTATTTCCTTCAATGCAGAACGGCTATGTAGTTTAAAGACAGGTCAATAACCGAACACAGCTGACAGAATGTCCGATCTTACTGACCTTAAAGGGGATTAAAATACTAAAATTACTTGAGGAAGTAACAATCGCAAAATGTGCCTACAGACACTGTATACCTTCAATCAGAATATCGAAAAAAAATTCGGCTTTTGGTAACTAGATTTACTCGGTTAATCTCATCAACTGATAGGGTTATCCTCCTATCATGAACTATACTTGATTGGTGCGATTTATAAAATTCCATCATGTTCTTACAAGTATGAGGGTCTTGATGGGGGTCCTTCTTTATGTATTCTTTAATTTTTAGGCCATTTTTCTCTATTCTTTATACTTTTTGCCCAATATTCTCTATTTTTTATACTTTTTGCCCACTATTCTCTATTCTTTATATTTTAGCACCTCGTTATTCTCTATTCTTTACTTTTTGGTCAATTTTTCTCTATTCTTTATAGTTTTTGCCCATTATTCTCTACTCTGTAAACCCCCATCCACAACCTCAACTATCAGAATACGTACGGACACCAGAGTACTTTACAATTAAACAATCTATAGAAGATTAAATGAAGATAAAAGAAAAATATTCTCCTTGTGGTAAGTAATATGAATGGTAAAACTTTTTTCAGACGGATCATTGAAGTCCCATTGAAGACGTTGGCCATTAACTATAGCTCCAATAGATATACATTACACATCACGTATAGTGGTTATAGTTTCCTGGAAGTAATTCATAGCTTCATTATATAGTCAAAACGACCATATTAGTCGTAAAAAATTCAGACATACTCATCTCTATATTTATTCATAACAATTATCACATAACAACAGATTTTGATTTAAACAAGCAAAAATGTAATATATACATACAAATGGCACGTGTAAATGAATGGTATGTTAAAATATAAATAACAGTGTACATTTATAACATCAGTAGCTTTTTAGATGAGCATTGAAGTTCTAGCTTACTTTCAAACCAAAATCAAAGTGTCTATCATATTTTCTAACTTGTACCTGGAAAATTTAATAAAAAACTTAACTAAAATTGGTATCATCACTGGCAAAGTTTCACCCTAATTTATTTGGCGGAAATACATTTTAAACAAGTCGACCATTGTCAACCTAATGTTCAGTGGTTGTCGTTTGTTGATGTGGTTCATAAGTGTTTCTCGTTTCTCGTTTTTATATAGATTAGACCGTTGGTTTTCCTGTTTGAATGTTTTTACACAAGTCATTTTTTGGGGCTCTTTATAGCTTGCTGTTCGGTGTGAGCCAAGGCTCCGTGTTGAAGGCCGTACTTTGACCTATAATGGTTTACTTTTACAAATTGTGACTTGGATGGAGAGTTGTCTCATTGGCACTCATACCACATCTTCTTATATCTAATTAACGCATCAAATTGTTTAATTAAACAGATTTGTTTTAGATCATGGCAATTATTTTATGTCGCTAAACTGCCTTACTTTATTTGGTTTTTAAAAGTGTAATGTAATTGTTATGCTGAGAGCAACGCACCAGGTGCTGTTATTTTCTACGGGGTGAAATTTTTATAAGAAATTGCTAAATAAAGCAATTAATATTTTTTCTCTTCAAATATTTAAAAACATTATTTAAAATTTTGTCATTTTAGAAAAAAAACTTGCAAGTATGCTTTAAAAGTTCACACATTTTCTAGAAATCTGGATAGGAACATCTCGTTTGTTTATTCCTATTCGTTACTTCTGGATTTGGGAAAAGCTGAAGAAAGAATGTATGGTTTGTATCACTGAATAAAAATTTTAAATCATAATAATACTCTTTATCATTCAATGTAATACATTTCAAACATATACAAAACAAGCAAATATTGACATATTCTAAAACTTCTTTGGCATACCATCATCATCTTCTAAAATCAAAAATACACTTACGTAAAGCAATGTGTTTCTAGCTACAAAATCGTTTTAAGTAAGTTTCATTATTTCATAATTTAAACTGCATGCATTATGTGCATTATGTGCACTTGTATTTTGAAAGTGTGTTATAAATTGTTAATTTATAATAGCACCATAATAACTTAGAAAATAATTCCGTCGACACCAAGGAGCATCGCATTGGGGAACAATGAATTATACTGGAAAATAACGTTTTAATTTCATTAATCAGAAAACATTCTCTATTTTGAACAAAAGCGATGAAAGTTGCATGTATGACGAGTTAAAACGGTATATTTTTTAGAACTCGTCCATTTTGGCACTAGGTCGGAAAAAAAATAGGTACTTGTAACTGAAGTGAGATTCCTTTTTTGAATTTTAGCAAAGCAAACATTTTTTAAATTTTGTCAATGCAGTTGTGCACAACACCTAAATAGCGAATTTTCATATATGTTAGCATTTTTTAGAACTTTTTTCTAACAAATAAACAAACAGGCGTACATATATATTTCCTTTTATTTATATGGCAGAAAACAGGTAGAAAACAAGTGCTTACAGAATGCATGAGCTTCAAAAGTTTGGAAGTTTTTGACAAAAGTTGAGTATTTATTCAAAATCTTAACAGAAACTAAAGATTCCCTTATAAAAACAAAATTTCCTCAAAATTTATCTATCATTTTGAAATACAAATGAAATGAATATAATACATGTTTGTCCACAGTTGTTGTATAATACACAATTTTACAAAAAAAAAACATGCTGCATTGCATTTTCTATGAAATTAAATTCAACAGCAAAGATTTAGATTGAATAACACGTTGATATTCACTTACATTTCATTAAAATTTAAAATGAAATTATCTGAGAAAAAATAAATATAAGTAATAATGGCCATAATGCTTTCTGTCGTTATCTTGGAAACTCTTGATCCTAATGTAAATATTTTATTCTTTAAAACAAACATACATTCCCTGAATAGAAATTTGAAATAAATATTTGGTCCCACGTCATACTTTTAATTTACATTCAAGTTAAGATTTAACAATGTAGCCAGTTAACAGGAAAAACGGTTAAAATGAAATCGATTCCGACTTGAACAAATCATGACTGCCAGTGTGACAAAGATCAATGAACCATGATTTTTTCACTAACCGCACAGTATCATAAGGTCATGTGATGCCATCCTGTCATTCAGTTTGTAATGTAAAGATAAAAAAGATGAAGTCATGGAGCTAACAACCTTTAAGTCATGTACATAGTTATTCTTAATGATGACCATCCTTGAAAAATATCTTCCACCGAAATGTTGAACTTGAGCTACTCGTAATAATTTGGTACACATTTAAAATCTGCATTTTTCGTTATTCAAAAATCATCTTGGTACATGCATCTTAAAACTATTATATCATCGTTACACTACATGTATCATTTATGTCTGCAAAAATTGAGCACCATTTAATAACAAAAAACATTAAAAAAAACCACTACACCTCTAGACCCCATGTATTTATACATTGTTTGCGTTCTAATTTTTGGCTATTGGCATGCTTGTTGAAGGTAAACCAAGAGATGCGTGTCGAACAGAAAAACCAGTATGTTTTACTTTGATCTGCACATTTTTCAAGTTGTTTTTATGCATCAGGAAGATTTAGAATTTTTTTTAAATGTTAAAACAGCATTATTCTGTTTGCACAGATGATGGTAATTGTTAAGATAATAATGATTACACTTTCAACTTCAAAAATTGCAAAGTCATTTTATAAAAAGATAGTGACTTAGCTAGCAAGGTCACTATTTAAGTACAGTTTTGAACATTATTTAACAATTGTTGTTCAAATAAAGGGATTTTTAGAATTCCCAATAATTTGATATAATAACTAAACGTTTACGATTTTTCCTTAATTGTATTTACACAACAACAATGATACCAAAATGTGCAAATGTATACATTATTTTACGTACAGAAAATTACAATCTGATTTAGTTACAGACCCTGTATTCTCGCTTTGCGAACAAGGATATGACAACACTCCATTCTACTTTCTGTATAAAAAGACCTTTACGATATTTTGGTGGTGTCGTAATGATACACGCCTTTAAAAATTTGGAGGCTGAAATTTTACTGGCTGATGTAATAATTACCAGAAAAGAAAGTAGAACGGAGTGTTGTCAGATCATTGAGTTCCAAGCGTGGACATAGGATCTGTATTTTAATTAGATTTAGAAAATTATACATCAATTAGATCTTTTTCTGTTAAACCATTTTTACAATACCTATGCAGGTGTTACTTCATGCAACAAAAAACATCATGTGGTGTCCTGTCATTAACCAATGCAAACTGTACTTTAAGTAACTCAGAAGACACCGGATATTTTTCAGCAGTAATCATTTAGAAAGGTCAACGAATGACGTTTTGTTTCTTGAACTTTCACTTTCAGGTCTTTGCTGTTATCAAATTTATACTGACGTTCTGAGGTACAGTGCATTGGTTACAGCTACACTCTCGTTGACAGCACAACTGCTTCAGCCCACGACGGAAATCAAGGCTCAATGTCATATAAATAAAGAACTTGTAAAATGAATTACCAATCGCAATCCATAGAAAGTAAAAATGGACTTTATGTGGATAGTCGGAATGTGATTCAAGGAATGTTCCTGCAATTTGTAACATTAACCATGGTAACCACGACAAAAAGAAAACTATCGAGACAACAAAGTTCATAAAATAGTTTTTTGGTCTTGTAGCAGTGTCAATCAATATGTTTTCAAACATATGCTTCTTTGACCGGAAACGTTCAGTAAAAATATACGAATTTGTAAATATTAGTGCTAACAATGCTGGACAAAGAACTATTATTCCGGCAGTTGCAAAGTAAGGTTTTTGAGGCCCAGGGTCAATTGAGCACATGAAAATTTCATCGTAATACGACGCACGTTGAATTTTAGAAAATAAGGGCGGGCTACAAAAACAAAATGCAGCTAGCCAAGCAAATATGATCCAGCAAAGTGATCGAGTTGTCGACATAGCAGTTTTGTGTCTCTGAGGTTTTCTAATTGCTAAATAATGATCAACACTTATCCATGACAACGAATAGACACCAGCTATGAAAAATATCGCCATCAAATATGCTTCTATATGACAGAAGATTTCGTCCTCGTATATCCATGAATTGCTGAAAGTACTGTATACGGCAAATGGCGTGATGAAAAGTCCTACGCACAAATCCGCAATAGTCAATGATCCGAAGTATATTTTGTTTATGTTTCTTAGACTATCTGTCCATGCCAATACAAACAATATTATCGTGTTTGTTAAGATGATGGCAATCGTGAAAAGAATAGTGACAATGCTTTCGATTTTAAATGCCATCTTAAATTTACTAATATTTTATCTAAGTAATGAACGCCATCTTTGAACACAGTTACGGAAATTAATTAATATCCGTTTTTTTACGTCTAAATATTTAAATGAATATATTTAGGTTGTTACGAATCTCCATTTATTACAATAATATCCGAGAGTCGATTGTTCGGTAATTTTATTTCCATTACAATTTTAAAATCAATCAAATATCCATTTATATGAAGCTGTTTTGCTTAAAATAACATTTCAACTTGATAAATTTCGTCTTGATCTTTCACATCGAAGCATAATTACTCGGTATTGAAACAGATAAACCAATGTCATTTGCATATTTTCTATCCTGTGTCAACATCATTCTGTCGAAGACTGGCGTGATCACTGATTTTTCATGTCTAAAATGAATAACACAGAACTATCTAAAAACATTTTCTAGAATATTGCAATTTATTGTATGTTGTTATGGTAATCTGATTCAGATTGGTAAATATTAATTCATTCATTAATAAAGTGGAAGAACGGTAGTCTTGTCCTCTATACCTACTCGAAGTATATTCTGGAATGCATTTTTCATCAATTGTGTATAAAAAAAAACCGTGCCATATACCAATTTTGTCAAATGAGAGGTAAATAAGGTTAATCCGATATCCCAGTTTACACTTAAACGGATTTTAAAACATGGAACTTTTCAACTGTAATTTAAGAAGCACAGGAAGGGGGATACATGTCAGTAGGAAGCTAAGGTATACTGTTGAGCTAGATTTTGCTGTCTTAATATGTATATAAAAACATAATGACTTAATCCTTTCGCTGATAATTTTGCAATTTTGCGACATCTGCAAAAAACTGATGTGCTAAATCCCTCACCATAGAGAAAGCCAATATTAAAAGATTTTAACTATTGTTTTTAGACCCCTTCTTATTATATCGGTCCCAAGGTATCTAAACATTTTTGGCTTTCAAAACCTTTAATGAAAAGAACAGTTGTATACAGTCCAAGGACGGATCCAGAAAAGTTACAGGGAGATGTCACCTCAGGATAGAATCTCAAAAGCTATAGGGGTGTCACGTGCATCCAGTGACATCTGTCATAGTAGTGTTTTCCGTTCTTCTTAAACGTGTCTTAAAGGAAAAGAATGCATGCATGAATCATCCTTAATATAATGTATACATATCAAGAAGTTGTTATCATAGGCTCATTAAAGTTCAATCCTGCTTCGAATATTCAACGTGTGACTTGAAGATATCGCCACTTTGAAGTTTTCTTATGCCAACAGTAGTTGTAAACAATTTCCAAGGACTTATCCTTGATTTTTATTTACAATTTCTTATATATAAATGGTTATATATTTTCAAACCTGAACAGTTTGCGTGTAAACTGTTGATAAGTAAACTTTATTTGCTGTAATCTGTTATTTAATGATAAAAAAGTGAGGTAGCATCGAGCCCTTCATTTATTAATAGCTATCGGTGTAACATCGCCCCCTTCATAAATATATAACTCAAATGATTAATTTGCTTCAAAGGAAAAACAATCGCGATCTGACAACGCAAAGAAGGAGGTAGGATTAGACCTATTATTTGGCCACTGAATATTTTTGAAATCATAAAAAATTGCGAACAAAACATTTTGCCTGTTTGCCTTATAGAAAAACGAGAATACAGCTCTCTGTCAACATTCGCATTTAGCAATATTTATTTTAGCTTGGTACCGTTTATGCAATTTGAAGAAATATGGAACATGCATTGGTTTAGTTCTTTTGGTGACTAGTATATAAATGATAAATCTCCCAATGACATTTGAGAGATATCTAGCGTGTGCAATGTATAATCTTTCAACAACAAGTCAACAAAATAAACCAAGACATATTGCTCCCATTAGAACAAAATGCAATTTCAGAATTGTTTCGAAAACGATACACCAGAAGCAATTTTCAACAGATTTCTCTGACTGACATATACGATATTTCCATTAATACGAATGCAATTTGTTCTAACTGTAGCCATTTTTAAAGCTAATTTCCCTAAAGGAAACTCAGACAAACAGTTCCAATCGATCATGCTAAATTTGTGTCTCTTAATGTGATGAAACCAATACATTAGCAATATCTTATATCTGCCAGTTCATATAAAGAACAATTTAAACGTTTATATCATTCGTGATTAGCCATTAGAAAGTCTGTGGCTTGAATTCTGGCCATGACATGGTTTTTCGGCATCAAAATGGAATATGTGGGTCTCTGGGCGCATGAAGATATGAAATATGCATGGATGTCATAAGTGCATACGAAAGGAAATGGGTTAAATCTTATATACATTTTTGTTCTATAATTAGTAGCGCTTTCATGATGTCTGAACTCTTTTTTACGAAAAAATTTCTGTATTTTCATCGTAAAAAATCCCCCTTAATATATATATAAATATATATACTAAAAAAATAGCTAGAAACTGTCTTTCAAATATGATTGAATTAATTTTAGTTACGAGTTAAACTCATTACCTAGTTTTTTAACTTTGAAATTGTTCTCAAAATTATCTTACAGCCATGTTTATGAACTTGCTGTTCGGTGTGAGCCAAGGCTCCGTGTTGAAGACCGTACTTTGACCTATAATGGATTACTTTTACAAATTGTGACTTGAATGGAGAGTTGTCTCATTTGGCACTCATACCACATCTTCTTATATCTAATTACCATCTACGTCATTTGGTCTCTGGTGGAGAGTTTGTTTCATTTGCAATCATGCCACAACTTCTTATTTCTATACCAAAATATAATGAATGCTTGAGGTCGTACTCTTTAATAGTTCTGTTATTTAGACTATTTCACATTTACGTTGCAATAATATTGGCTAGGACAAAGTTTCATGGTAGACTCAATGTATCGTAAGAAAACGTTTCCTTATAAAACATCAAACATATTAAGATAATTAATTTTGATGTTATACAATTAATTACATCTCTGTGTGTTTCGTTTGAATAATTGATTTTGATACGATCTAAAATATATTTCTTCATAAAATATTTTTGCTCGTACTTCAACTGTTTATCGAATTGATTTAAAGTATATTAGGAAATTTTCTACGGATATATTTTCAACGTTTTACGCAAATTAGACAAGAAATTTACTATACTGTGTCTATATGATGTTTATTATACATGTAGCACGAACTTTAAAATCGTGTCATAGTTATGTATCTGTTGTAAAATTATATTGTATATACATCGATGCAGTGTTCACGTTTTTTTTCTTCAATTGATTACTTTCTTTACTTATAATTTTTCGTATATAACACTTACTACGGGGTTTATGTAAATAGCACACCCTATTACCGGCTTTCACTACGACCAAGGAGGTTATACAGATATAATAAGATCTGACTTCCCGATTGACATTCAAAGAAATTATTTTGCTGTCATGAACAGCATTTTTTTTATCTGCCGTTCCAATTGACATAGTTATACAAAGGATTTTGCAATTGTGCACAGCATATTTCAATTGATTGATTGTAGGTTGGCTAACGTCCAGTAGCAAATATTTCATGCCTGAGAGCAGAGTTTGATCTGTTTAACCTATTGCATTTGCAGTAATAGGGATGTGAATAGGGAAAACGATTGACTGGAATAGGTCTACCACTTGAATGGACACATGCAGAACAAGGTAAAAGTTTAGTAGACTTTTACAATTTGTACAAAAAGAAACTTAATACATTGCACATGTACTAGTTCGTGTTATTTCGCATTGTTCATTTTGAAGCTGTATGAAATCTTCTCCGAGGTACAGCCGCTAAAATCACAGTGTAGGACGAATTGATGTTTACATCAGATTAATCTATCAGTCAATGCGAGCTCTATTTGATATTACCTGCTATTGTTGTTCTTGTACCTATGTGTTTTCATACAGAGTCACTTTTCCGAACTGATTTTAAATCTGCTATTTTACTGATAGAGATAAAAAGTTGAAGAATAAATCAATCAAAAAAAAAATTTAACTCCAGAAAGCTTTTAATTCTTCCATTGGTTATCTTTATTCTTATCTTAATGTTTTTTTTCCTATAAAGAATGCTCGTTAATAGCAGACCTTTGATAGTCCTTATATAAGAATGTGTCTATTTTTGAAGTTGATATTGGCTTCAAAATGTCTTTTTGGGGCTCAAACATGTTGTTGGGTTGTTGCCCCAGTGACGTTCACTCCATATATTCTTTTAGTCTCAGTACATATACACAATGCCAGAACATTAGAGACGGTATAGATGACCAAAACGGTTATAATAAATAAAAAATATAGTATCAAATAGGGCATGTAGCTTTATCTGTAAAATAGAAATACAATATTTACAGAAAAAGTTTACAGGTCATCCTTTATCAATATACATGAAAAGTAGAGCATTTCGGACGAGTTCAAAATATTGGGGCCTCGGTGGCCGAGTGGTCTAAGTAGTCGAACTACTGTATCACTAGCCTGTCAACACTGAGGTTGTGAGTTCGAATCCCGCACATGGCAGATGCGCTCGACTCCAATCTTAATTGACTAATGTTATGATGGTATGATACTAAACCCCTAACGGGAAGGATTGTGCCTGATATTCATATGATGAAGACATAATCTTTCAATCAGTTTAATTGAAGTCTGGAGCTGGCATGTCAGTTAACTGCTAGTAGTCTGTTGTTATTTATGTATTATTGTCATTTTGTTTATTTTCTTTGGTTACATCTTCTGACATCAGACTCGGACTTCTCTTGAACTGAATTTTAATGTACGTATTGTTATGCGTTTACTTTTCTACATTGGCTAGAGGTATAGGGGGAGGGTTGAGATCTCATAAACATGTTTAACCCCGCCGCATTTTTGCGCCTGTCCCAAGTCAGGAGCCTCTAGCCTTTGTTAGTCTTGTATTATTTTTAATTTTAGTTTCTTGTGTACAATGCGGAGTTTAGTATGGCGTTCATTATCACTGAACTAGTATATATATTTGTTTAGGGGCCAGCTGAAGGACGCCTCCGGGTGCGGGAATTTCTCGTTACATTGAAGACCTGTTGGTGACCTTCTGCTGTTGTCTGTTCTATGGTCGGGTTGTTGTCTCTTTGAGACATTCCCCATTTCCATTCTCAATTTTAGGATTGACAGTTTTTTCTACCGAAGGTCGGTGGTTCTCTCCAGCCACTCCGGTTTTCTCCAACAAGAAAAACAGACACGAAATAGCAGAACAGTGCTGAAAGTGGCGTTAAAAACCAATCAATCGATCAATCAATCTAAATATATTGCATCCTCATCGTAATAGCATTATATGCACTCTCCTTAAAGTTTGGTACCTACTAGAGAGGTTCCGAGTAAAACGATTTTTCATGCAAGCAAACTTAAGAAAAACAAGATGGCGGAAATATATATTACTTTCTGCAGGCATCAGAGCTAAAGAAATAAGACGAAGTATCATCCATGTTGCTGAAATATTTGGCACTATTATATTAAAAGGGTTGTTGCACTTTTATTGTGGAATATTGTCTCGAGCAGTATATCAAATATTATATACTGTATATTTGATATACTGTTAGGGACAATATTTCTCAGTATCAGTGCAATAACCGTATTCTATATTCTTTTTGTATCTGGACAAACTGCACTCGGTAAAATATTCAAGCAGTTACATGTATCTGTGTCATTAAGATTAAGAAGGATTTTAAACTTTGTTTGCTATCCCAAAAAATGTTATGTGACGTTTTTATCTCTGATGATCATATATGAAACTAGTTCACGGTTTCATCTGAACTGGAATTCAGATGGTCACGTGATTTGCGTTAATCACTTTTCTTTTAAAAAGGCTAGTATCAGGAATAGCGGAAATATATATATAGATAGATCTTAGGTTTATCAAATATATATATACATGTATATATAAACCTAAGATCTACCAAGACCGATATTAGAAAATGATGCTTAAACAAAAGTTCAGATATATGCACAAACATGATACAGCCAATATCAAGATCATACTTTTTTTTCTTTTTATCCATGGCTTTTTCCAAAACAAAATATAGCGGAATCCTTGTTTTATATGATATTTTTTATTTTTCATATTTCAAACACAGTTAAGACTCGACTTACTCTTACATTTATAATTACTAAATTTGGCAAATAGAATGCATACACTGTAGTACATTGATCAATCAAAATTCCTGGCATATTTATACTCCTTTCTAAAATAATGAATTATGGAATCTACTTATATGACATTTAATGACGGAAATAGATCAATACAATTCCTTTTATCATGTAGCTCAAATCTGTTTTAGATGTGTATCGTATGAATCTGATCAGCAATTTCGCAGTTAATGTTGTCGTGAAATTCTCTGAATCCTCATGTTATAAAGAAATAAAAGAACAGATCGATATCACTATTGTTGATCATTGTTAATACGAACAATGAATAAGCCACCGCTTGATAAAAATACAGAAAACTGTAATATGTGACAAATTCTCATATAAAACATATGTTAATATGATTGGTTTGTTTTTGTTTGCTGTATATTGTCAAGTTAAGATATTTTCATTACATGTAATCCAACACTGTTGTCATACGTAAAAACCAAAGAAGTAAAGAAGTAAAAAAATAAGGATCTTTGCATAAAACCGTGTACAGATTCATGTAAAGATTGCGTATTATTCACGAGTCGTGCGATGACTGAACAAATTGGGAATGGCTATGACGAAGCTTGTTTATGATTATTTTACAAGAATATTTCTATATATAAATAATGATGCATTAAGAAATACGTCAGGCGATGTATACTTTTTTGTACACTTTATTTCGCAAAGATGAAAGGTGTTTACCCTCCAACAAGATGGCTGTTCTGTTTCGTGTTTAAGCTTGCCCCCCCCCCCAAAAAAAAACCCCATATATAGTTGATTGTCTTACTTCAGGCTCGGTCCGAAACTGTAGATAAGAAAAAACCCTTTAACTCGTATGCAATGTAGATATAACTTTGAGGATGGGTAACCCATATTTCTTAGCTTTTAAGGTAGCAGGATATCTAGGACTGTTTTTATCATCACACTCCCTTAGTTCTCATCATATTCTCGTTTTATGTATGTACTCTTAAAAGTGTTCGAAAAACAGAATAAACCACTGACAGTTCAACTACTCTTCTCAATCATTTAAAATATTCTTCAAGCTAAAAAGCCTTGCCAACATGCCATGGAATGTTAATATAACTTATTAACAGAGTAAAGTGGTTAGCTCTCATATAATCGATGTAAAATTGATTACAATGAAAGACAATACTAGATTTTGTTAGCTGACTTATTTACGTATGTTAGTAATCTTTCTGTTGAGCCTTAAGTTAACAGATTTGTTTCTATGTAAATTAATCTATTTGATCTGCAGCTATATGCTGCTACAAATAACAAGAGTAACCACTATAAGAATGAAGCACAAAAAGGGAGAAAAGAAACCAAGGGAATAATTGGGAATCATAAGTCAAATAAAAACAGACAACGCCATGACCAAAGAGAAAAAAACTACGAGAAGAACAACAATAACAAAAAATTAGAAAGAAAACATAGAATTAAGCAACACGAACCCTACCACGAACTAAGGTATTCAAGCAGGCTAAGCTATTCCTGCTCCACAAGTGGCACCTATCGTGTTACTTATGCACATAAAAATCCGATTAAAAGTCGCCTTCGGTAATGTCACATTAGAGGAAAAGATACGGGATTGTGTTTCCGACAAGTGAAACATGCAAATGGTCGTCTGTGACACTGATATTACATAACGGTCAACACTCTAAAGTTCTGGATTGTATCCATTAGAAAATAAAATCGCAGACAGAAACAAATCGATCAAAATTGATGGATTTGTACCAATTTTTTTATAGGAGAATTTAAATAAATAAATCCCGATTAAGAAATGTGAGCGGGTATTTTTTAACGGTAGGCATTATACCAAAAATAAATGGAATATAAACTGTACAGTATAAAGAGTACGTGTCAAATAAAAAAAAACAAAATCTAAAAAAAAAACAAAAGGAAAGGAAAGCCCTAATAAAAAGGATATAGTATAAAACAAGGAAAATAGTCTTACAAAAATAAAGAACCGAGGGGACAATAAAGCTAATTTAAAGGAAAAATATCATGACACCGATCAACTTCCTTGTCACACTGGATACACCAAATGTATGCAACACTACATCACTTTCTGATACGTCCATAGATAAGGTAAATAACAATGACTAGAGTCGTGTAGGAGAGAAAACATTATATGATAAACTTTCTTTTTGAATCATTCTCAAAATATATTAAGAATGCATAACAAAGGTACTTCAAAGTGTTTCTGTTTGTTGTATTTTTGTGAAGTAGGAATAGAAAAGATGGAACTATTACAATGCAAATATCAATAGGCTTATCCAACACAAATAATCGACAGATAGCCTCAGTTAAAAAAAACATTTTTTTAAAAACACGGTTTAGAATACAATGAATATAAAAAATCTGAGAAATATGAGAGAAGTTAATAGTAGATAATAACGAAATACCGATTGTCCATATCATAATACTTCAGATTTTTCTTCTCTTAAAACCATTCACAACAACTGTTTTAATATTTTTCAAGTAAAATACACAGTTAAAACATACGTTCTTACCTTGTTTATAGCCATGACTATTTACATCATTTAGATGTACATTTCACTGTAGCTCTATGTGGGCGTACCTCCTGTCTGCTTCGATTTCGTATTATGATTATTGATCGCTCTCAGAAAATTATACAAATATATTTCAGTACCATTCGTCTTATTAATAACATGCTTATGATATCATTTCAATCTGAGTAAAATCTCTGGTGTTTGATAATCATGTTGGATTTACAGAAACTTTGTCAATACACGAACCAATATAAAAGTGCTGATTAAAAGTGTGTGTAAGCATATGTTTGATGTTGGTGATCAATTTTTACACAACATGTAATTACTGTTCGAAGGAGCAATATCAACAGGTTAAATCATTCAATATATAAATAGTTTGTCTCAAACAATAATTTATTTTTTATAAATTCATGCTTTTAATTTAAACCGAGTACGTCTGTGCGACTATTGTTACAGTATTACAAATGATAATTGTAGCATTTATCATTCCAGAGATACAGTCAATTAAAACTCGTAAAATATGCCTATAAATGTATACAATCTATGTAAAAAAAAGGGGGGCGAAATATGCATTTTCTGTACTTAAAAATTGCGATTTTTCAAAATAAAAAAAAATGTGTAAAAAGATATATTATAGTGGTAAACAGTTCCGTTTTAACGATACGAAAATATTTGGGGGTCACTGAATTCGTTTTTGCTCTCTAAAACATTGAACTATAAATTATGAAAAAAATATGATTTTGTAACGACGTTGCGATTATTTTGTCGTTTCGTCCATTTAAATTACATAATCGAAACTAATTTTTACTGAAAAATACGATGACCCCCTAATATTTTTATACCATTGAAACAGAAACGTTTATTATGTCTGTTTGTTCTGTTCACACATTGTTGTCAATATAATGGAATTTTATACGACTGTCATACAAGTGAGAGGTTTAGCTAGCTATAAAAGAGGGGGCAATACCTTTTTCTGTTAACCTGTTTTGGGCTATTTCAAGGTGTTGTTAACTGTTATTTGAAATATATATAAACTGTTAACTGTTTTCAACCCACTGTCTGTTATCTGTTCTGTTAAAATTGGTAATGCTGTTAACTGTTTTATATGAAAATGGGATTCCTGTTATCTATTACTTGACACTTAAAGTGTTCATGTTTTTGACATAATTTATCTCTGTTAACCGTTATTTACAATAATTTTCAAGATTCACACTTATCACACTAAATTTGCTGTTAATCTCTTTCTTTACGGTGCTCCCTCAAAGGTGTAACATAAACAGCAGATATGTAATAAATAGGTCTCGTAGAAAAAATTGATAATCTTTAAAATTCCTTCCCGGCCAGAACGGCAAACAACTAATGTGTCGGGTACATAGCGGAGATCATCGGGTTGACGACCGTCCGTACCCGCCCTGGTTGCGGCGTATATATGAAATCTTGGAATCCCCAGGCGTCAAATGCAACTTCATATCATGGGAGCAGTGGAGACCAGATCTTCACTACTGGGATAGTAAAGGAGGGTAGTAAAATGCGGGCACGCTGCTACCTGTCCGATCTCCCACGAATAGTCAGTTGGTAAAGCGACATAGTGGCTGCACGACTCTACGCTGCCGGCTACGGTCAGCCAAGACAGTCCGGGTACAAAACATTGGTCCAGAGACACAGGCAAAAATGAGTCGCACGGTACTAGCGTTGGTATCATCGCATCTGACACGGCTCGCAAAAATCGCCCCGGTCTCAACCGGGAAACGGCCGGCGCATGGTAAAAACAATGGAGAGGCGGAAAGGAAAAAAGAAAAAATACTACACGCCGCGCCGGCACGACGGAGGAGGGCGAGGATGGAGATAGAGCTTGGTGGTGTCGGTTGCGTCACACTTTTTGGCTTTCTTTCTTCGTCCGAACGAAAGACTTGTTTTCTCGGACGGAGAAAAACGTCGAAATGAACGAACCTCAACCAGACGGGACAAACGACGGAAAAAAAACAAAATGCATAAAAGCGGACACGGCAGGCTGGTGGCGAGGTACAACGATGAATGGGGACGGTAGGGTAACGCGCGGCCCGAACTTTCCCCCTTCAATGTCCACGGCACCTTGGCTTTCGGCCGAAACCGATACGGGACAAACCAAAGAAAAAAAACGGTTGCGGGTACTTATCTGGTTGATCCTGCCAGGAGCCATATGCTTGTCTCAAAGATTAGCGGAAAGAGCGGAAAGAGCGCGTTTATTAGATCAAAACCAGTCGGGTTCGCAGGTGCCCGTCGGATTGGTGAGACTGGACAATTTTGTGCTGATCGCACGGCCTCGCGCCGGCGACGTATCTTTCAAATGTCTGCCCTATTAACTTTCAATGGTACGTGATATGCCTACCATGGTTGTCACGGGTAACGGGGAATCAAGGTTCGATTCGGGAGAGGGAGCATGAGAAACGGCTACCATATCCATGGAAGGCAGCAGTCGCGCAAATTACCCATTCCTGGCACGGGGAGGTAGTGACGAAAAATAACAATACGGGACTCTTTCGAAGCCCCGTAATTGGAATGAGTATACTTTAAACCCTTTGACGAGGATCTATTGAAGGGCAAGTCTGGTGCCAGCAGTCGCGGTAATTCTAGCTCCAATAGCGTATATTTAAGTTGTTGCAGTTAAAAAGTTTGTAGTTGGATCTAGGGTCCAGGCTTGCGGTCCGACGCCTATCGGTTACTGCTCGTCCTGACTTACCTCCCGGTTTTCGCCCTTGGTGCTCTTGACTGAGTGTCTCGGGTGGCCGGAACATTTACTTTGAAAAAATTAGAGTGTTCAAAGCAATCACTATAATTTGCTGCTTTTTGGAGATCGAGGTAATGATTAAGAGGAACTGACGGGGGCATTCGTATTACGGTGTAAGAGGTGAAATTCTTGGATTGCCATAAGACGAATTACTGCGAAAGCATTTGCCAAGCATGTTTTCGTTAGTCAAGAAAGAAAGTCAGGTTCGAAGACGATCAGATACCGTCGTAGCTCTGACCATAAACGATGCAAAATAGCGATCCTCCGGAGTTGCTTCAATGACTCGGCAGGCGCCCCAAGAAACCAAAGTTATTTTTGGGTTCTGGAAGAAGTATGGTTGCAAAGCTGAAACTTAAAGGAATTGACGAAAGGGCACCACCAGGAGTGTAACCTGCGGCTTAATTTGACTCAACATGGGAAAACTCACCCGGCCCGGACACTGTAAGGGTTGACAGATTGAGAGCTCTTTCTTGATTCGGTGGGTGGTGGTGCATGGCCGTTCTTAGTTGGTGGATTGATGTGTCTGGTTAATTCCGACAACGAATGAGACCCTAGCCTACTAAATAAATCGTCGATCCCCATTTGCGTCGGCGCAACTTCTTAGAGGGACAACTGGGGTTTAGCCACACGACATTGAGCAATAGCAGGCCTGTGATACCCTTAGATGTTCGGGGCAGCACGCGCGCTACACTGAAGGAATCAGCGTGTCTCTGCCCTTGCCTGCTGGAAAGGTCGGGTAACCCGTTGAACCGCCTTCGTGCTAGGAATTGGGGCTTGTTATTCTTCCCCATGAACGAGGAATTCCAAGTAAGCGCGAGTCGTGAGCTCGCGTTGATTACGTCCCCGCCCTTTGTACACACCGCTTGCGCTACTACCGATTGGCCGTTTTAGTGAGTGCCTCGGATTGGACCCGGAAATGGTTGGCAACAACCGTACCGATGTGCCGAAAAGACGCGCAAACTTGAACGCCTAGAGGAAGTTAAAGTCGTAACAAGATTTCCGTAGGTGAACCTGTGGAAGGATAATTACCGCTATAATAAAGCGCTAAAAAAATTTCTGATGGTCCTGGTAGAACATTTCCATGAGGTGAAAATTACTCCCCTCGATGAATTTTTCCCCCCTGGTGCATCGCAAAGACCCGCGGTCGCCCGCTAAAACATCTTGCAATGGTCCTCGTAGAAAAATTCTTGGATGCGAAAATTTTTCCCGATGAAAAAAGGATACATATAGGACAGTTTGTTTGAAAAAGGTTCAATCAACAGAAGTGTTAGTCCCCAGTCCGTACCATATCAACTTATCAAATCTTTAGAAATGTAGAAAGTTTGACACCACTGTTTCGTGACAATTCAGATGCAAGAATATCATAGTTCTTCCCGAAACGAAAGAAAATCAAAACTTCTCCGTGTTGGATAATGTTACTGTGTTAACGCAAGGGGCTTTTACGTCTGGTGTATTTGTATATGGCATATACTTCTACTTGTCTTTTTGTAAGCGTATACTATAAATCAGAAAATCAGTGTCGTTTACGTCAGGAGACGTTAGCTTCTGAATACCAATTTTCATACTTTTATTTAGTAAAAAAATAGTTGACAATCTTCCATCTTATTATTCCTACAGGTATTAGGGTAATAGATAAAAGCAAAACAATAAAGAAACAAATTCTTTGATATTGCCAATTTGGGCGGTGTTGTACAAAGGTTGATAAAAACATAAGTGTGTAAATAATTACCAAAAAATGAAGAAACACACTAAAAAGTGCTTACAATCATTATTTTTGTCTTTAAGTACAGTAAAAAAATGGAAGATGCAGATCTCATTATCTAAGAATTGAATGCTTCTTTTTCGAAATTTTATTGGGTTGTAAAAGCGTTGACCGAAGCACATTTACCGCGCTTCATACTAATAATAATTATGCGTACGATCAACGATTATACAACCCTATAAAGTTTTAGAAAGAAGCATTCAAGTTCTTATGATTACATCTTATGCTATAACCGTAAAATTACGACTTATGTCAATTTTTTTCGTTTGTTCTCCTATGCATTGTTGTTACATTGTCTCGAAAGCACGAGCTGTCATGAATGTTGAATTATATTAATCTAATTTTGGAATGTCTCTCGATTGTTGTCAGCCAATGAAAAGTATGGATTCTTATGAAACCTACATGAAATGTAATTACATGCTGTTGATATGTTCGAGGTAAACGTATAAACATGTTTACAATAATCATATTTCGCATATTTGATATAACTAACTTGATTTAATAAGGATTGATCTTAAACAGCTGTAATTACATTACATGTATATTTCATTAGAATCTGTAGTTTTGATT